TGTCGTGACACTTGAGATTGTCACACTTTTTGTGTGAAAACTGGGTCTACCTCTAGTCTTCCGGAACCATACCACAAAATTGGCAACTGCATGCAGTTACGTAATCGGTAGGAACCTTAGCACAATTATCATAAAATATTATACTCAACGTATCATACCCGAGTAAGTTACCAGCCCTACCCTCGAGCACAAGATAGCGGTCAGCATAGCCGATTCCAATGAACGCCCAAAGTTCGGGTGGGGTGCCACACGCAGTTCCGGCGCTTAGACCTCGGCAACGTCAAAAGAACCTCAACATTAAAACTCTAGTCATGTGGATCACCCAAGAATCAATATCTGTTCTTCGCTCTGTTATTAGCTTATGAGTGTGGATAGATAGAGAGCCGTGAGTAGTTCTTGTATCCTACCTCAACTTCCCCCCTTCAGCTTATGGTGGGAAATCAGCTCCCTATCTCGTTCGTTGTCAAACAATCTTACCTCACATTAGGAACTCGTGCAACAATTGTTGCTGGTTAAGGATTGACGGCTACCGGTAATTAATATCTAAATACAAAGCTCCACCTGCTCCCGGACATAAGAGAAAACTTATGAAATAATGGCATTACTGGAAAAAGAACTGGTCTACCGTACTATTCTCCTTCCTGGACCCCACTGCCGGTAGCGGATTCTCCTGTTGAGCCCTCTCTTGTTTTAGGCTTTATGCCAGGCTGCGTCCGTGGGGTATTCCTCCTTTCCCTCTCGCCCCTCACCCTTCTTTTATTGACGACCGGATAATACCTTTTCTCGTTAGCCTTAATCGTGGATACAAAGGCCAAAAAATGAACATACTCATTGAAGCTCAGCAACACTCCTAGAAGCCTCATGTCCATGTCACTCTGGTATGCTAGGTCACCTAAGAGGACCACTACTCTGGCCTGAAAATCCCCCGAGAGTGTCTTCAGTCTTTGTCGTAAACTCGGCAGCATCATATCTTCGGGACTAGACCCTTTTCCCGATACCTCGCCCTCCTCATCTGCTTCTCTGATGCCCCATTCGCCTTTCTTTGTCCTTGTTTCGATCCTCTGGCCCCTCTCCTGCCTTCGAGTATACTCCGCAACGCTATATCCATAAAGGCCATCTACGGCATCTTTGTAGGCAAGCATTATCTTCAATATTTCGTGAAGTTGGGTCATGAAAGTATCATCACCATCGGTGCCTGCCCTCTTCCCTTTACCGCTACTCCTGGAACTAGTGCTCCCAAGCAAGCCCTTGTGTGTGATATGTTGCAGGTATTTCGCATGTGCCTCGATCAAGTCATCCAGGGTCGCCTCCGGCTTAGATATCGCCGTCTGGAGAGTATCCCAGGAAGACTCGATAACCTTCATGATAGTAACTGATGTGAGAAAACTTGCCCCAACTTACGCCAGAATAATGGGGTTTACCTCGAACAAGATATAGTATTGCAGTTGGTTAACAAAGTGAACCATTTCCGCGACAACGCAGCGAGCCTTTTTCCAGTCGTCTCCCACCAAATCCTCAACCGCCTTCAATACCCCACGCGCTCCAGCCATAAATCGCCTCCAACTACTTCCAAGGGCAAACTCAACTCTTTTTACTCTCCATAAAAAGTTAAAAACCTTCAAATACTGTCTACTTCCATAAGGCGTAACGACAACATCCACGGGCGCGTCGATCTTGTACTCCAATGTGAACACATCCCATCCGATCTCCCCATGGCTTAGTTCCAACATTCTCGCGTCAAGCCTTCTCAAGACATCAGAAGAGTCGAACTGTGCATTTGACCCACGGATTGCATGTTCCAGCTGGGCTGTTAGGTTATGGCGATACAAGGTATTTGCCGGCCTTTCCAGGCTAGCGGACAACCCCTCCATAAGCAACGCAATAAAATCACCCTGGCCGAGAAGAAGATATTTTTTGAGCGCTCGAAGGTGATCAAATAGTTTGAATTTACTCCCCATCAGTTCAATAAGCCTGGCCATCGTTGTCTTATACGCCTCGTCGATGCTCATTTCCAACCTTGCAGTATCCCCATATCCTAATTCTTTAGATGTTGACTTTGAGTAGCTCTCTACCCACTCCGAATCACTGCAACCATGTCGGATGAAGTTAAGGGACTTGCCGATCAGGAATACTTTTTTCGCAAATGACTCCGTCATAATAGTGGGCACCTGAGGCGAATGGATGGTGTATTTATCCTCCCATACTGAGGAAGCACCCCCCTTGTTGCCTCCATCAGGCAGATTGGGCTGCTCGATAACGAAAAACTCCAAATAAGGATCCGTAAGCTCCCCATCGTAGATCCAGTGTCGAAGCATATCATAAAAGGGTCGTGTAACATGGCCCAACAGTCGTTCTGCAAACGCATGTACGAATGGGTCCCCGTGTGATGACGCGAAGCTGTGAATCGTCGAAATGAGTTGACCGCCTTTTTTATCTATTCTAACAATTTTAATAAACCGTGGTTAGGAAAAGGAGAGGATAATGGTAAAATCCATTGACGCACCATTAGTTTGCTCCACTATCAAACTCATCAGGCGTAGGCCCATGGTTGCCTCCCGAGTCCACACAACACATCTCTTCAACGTAACCCCTGCGGTCCTTACACCGATGGTAGTCTCGGCAGCCGCAACTGCACTCCTGATTTCATTCTCCAAACAGCCAACAAGATTAATATAGCCCCGAAGCTCTATTCCAATTGCGGACTTGAGCGATTGGCCTACCAATCCGCCGTCGGTGCCACCTTCAGATGATGATTGTACAAACTCGTTGAGACATCGGTAGAGAAGCGAAGGTTCTGCCAGGGTATGTAGTAATGACACAAGCGGCAGTGGCAAAGTTGGTGGTAATGAAATCGCGTACTTCTGAGTCGTCGAAATATCGCGCCCAGAAGGCGGAGCCGATACGCTCGATGTTGTAAAGGGGAGGTGAGAAGAGGAGAGTCCGAGAAGGGTAAAAGGTAATGAGGACAAAAGGGCCTGCTCAGTTGGTTCTAAATATCATAAGGTTAGCTGTCTCCTTGGAATTAGCTAGCCGGAGGAAAAAGCACCAGAGTCCCCGTATTTATCGGTGAGAAGCTCAGCTTTAGTTTTCATAGTACCATCCTCCTTGCTTTGTCCAAAACTATTCCACTGTGAACCCAAGTCACCCCCCGCAAGCCCACCAGTTCCTGGTCCCCGGGCAGAATCACGACCTGGTAATCGATGAAGGCCCATATAGCTAAAGGCCTCGGAAAAAGCATGCTCTCCCACTGATTCCATCCTTTGAGTCCCGATAACGCCAGCTTCTGAGAACACGCCTTCTCGAATCCCTGCTGCCGATGAAGGCCTGGTTTTGGGGGAGTCTGAAAGTTCGTGGAGCAAATAAAGAATGGCCCATTTCTGCGACAAAACTCGTTGGTTCAGGAGCCTCGTGTACAGAGTCGAAAACTTCAATGCAAGTTCAGGAGTCTTATTATCCCTAACGACTGATACCTTAGCGCCCGTATTAGTGTCAACCGCTGTCAACATCGTGGGGTAGCCTCATAGGAAACGCACGTCTCTTTTTGATCATGTCACTAATATGCTGCACATCCGGTACAATGCTGGGCTGTCCGTGACTGCCGCTCAAAGTGTCAATAACTCTTCCACGGCCAATGTTCAATTCCCCCTTTAACTTACCTCTTGATTATAGCTCTCGCCCTCTCCAAGGCCGCTTCGTGTCTCCCATCAGCTGTCTCATCGTCTTCATCTAGATTCGCCGGTATTATGGCTTCCACTATTGAAGAAAGCGCGCTATCGATTCGTTGGCTTCGTTCTTCCGTCATTGTAAACGGCGGTGGGGCTCATGAGGTGGGAGGTTTGACGGGGGACGTGTGATTTCCCCACACGACATGTTACACAATGAAGGCTATTTGCCAAGGGTTGTTTGATCTATCGGGTTCACACAAAATCACTCGTATTTCAGCTTCACAGAAACTCTTTCGGAGTTAAGGGCGGCAGGGGCACTACAACGGAAGCTAAAATACGGTAACCATGGAATGCCTGTTAACTAATATCAGAATATTTCGGGACCACAAGCAAAGATTTATCGGAATGGCCAGGTATGATAGTTTCGAACTTCCTCAGTAGCATAAATCATTAATTTTTCTAGAAATTCTAGAGCTATGGGAAACCACTTGAATATACTTGCAGGTGGGATCACCCATGAGTAAAGGTTCACGGCAGTGCCACAGGCTTCCTTTATTAGTCATAAGTGAAGCGCACGAACACCACCTAGAGCTAGGGGCGTGGGATGAACAGTAAACTTTCTTCGGGGGGAAGACCCTTCCTCAAGGGAATGGTGCGAAACCAATCCCTACTGCCAGACCACAGGGCTATCGAAGTACCGGTATTTCGGTATATCGCATTTGAGTCGTGCAGTGGACTCAGAGGGTCTCGGGTGTAGGCGGATATTAACCTAGAAAACGGCGTGACAAATCACTCGGACTATTACTTGACACGAGATCTTGGTAGATAGCAACGTAGTAGTGCAAGAGAAAAAACGGTTGGCTTATCTCCTGTGGGTAGAAGAGACAAAGTCCATTAGGGCCGCTGTTCGGTCAACAGAAACAGCAACGGAATCATGCCCCCAAGTCACTAGAAGTCGGAGATCACGAGAACTAATGCCAAGTGGGCGCTTACTGTGACGGCGGCTGGGTTAGATTGTTATCAATGACTTGGAGAATGCAGAGGGTAGCCGGGGGCCGGGAGAGACTGAGCTAGGTTAATACGAAATAGGAACCCGTATTAGTTGTCCACCTCAAGTCAAGAACGGAGATGAAATGAAGGGGGGCGATAATGAAGCACTCGAGCAGATATTGGGTTAAGAGGGGTTTGACCTAGAAGATTCTGTAGTAGGTTATCCGCCAGCAATCCTCGAAGTTTCAGCCTCAAGGACTAGGCAGAAGACATGAGTTATCTACTTTCAAGACTCTTCGTGGGATTGATCTCTTGATCTTGCCGAGGATCAGTGGGTTTCTTTTCAGTTCACCAAAGTGACCTAGCTGATTTATAAAGAGCCCAAGCAAAATATCATAGTCACGAACATGCACCCACACACTGTTTCGTCACCATAAGGGGTCGGCAACAGGAATCCACGGGATTATTAGGCTCGTGAAATGTTTAAAAAATAACCTTAGACATCTAAAGAGACTCGGTGGTCCTACAAGTGCTTTGTGGTGTCTTTTCTAGAAGAAACATCTGCCCCCTTCATTCATCACTTGCAAAAAATTTCCCTTCACTTCCGACAATCTAGAAATAAGAGGAAATAGTGACCCTATCACGTCCACCGTTCCGCTAAACCTCCCTTTCTCTCCTTCTTCTTTCTCATTGAGAGCTTTTTCGGCACAAGTTTATTGGTATAGTTCTTGGACATAACTCATCGTAGGTGGTCCATTAACCTGTACTGTACCGGTACCGGGACCTGGTCGCAACACAGTCGAACCACGCGAAGATGGTAGGTAGCGATGGATATCTCATTACTGACACCATTGATAGATTTGGGAATCTACTGCTATGGGATCACTTGTCCAGAAGAACTTGGAAACTTAGCCTAACCACCTGGAATTCATCATAAAAGGGTGTTTATTTCCGAATATTTCTCATTTTGGAAGCTCACACAGGCTCCAAAACTACAACTATTTTCCTCAAATCCTGCCGCCCTTGTTACAAATGGCAAATCCTTCATTGAGCGCAAGATAGCCGTAGTTGAATTAGCATCCGGTTGGGCTATGGGCCTATGCGGGGGATCATTTTTGGTGTGGAACGACAACCAATGGTCAAATATGTTCCTGAACTAACGCAAGATCAAAATTAGGGCTTTCATCTCGTATCATACCCTCACAGCACGCGGCGCATAAACGATGCTAGCGCTTTTCTTTTTGTTTTCTCTCCCGGCATGCTCTGGCTCTGTGCTGCAACCAGGCATTCGCTTTTGGCCTGCCTGGAATTGAACTTCATCTCAACGCCAAGAAGGTAAGTTGGGTCACTTCCCTGCACTAAAATTACCTCGAAACAATTGGCAATAAATGCGGGTTTTTTGAACAGAAGGCAAATCGAGTGGGCTGTCTGCCTGCTTGGGGTTTTTGAAGTGTGTGTGACTAGGACTCTAAATGCGTGTCCTAATTTTGATTTGGTTTCCGGCAATTCAGGATTCGTGTTGATGGTAATGCGGTGAGGTGAGGTGAAAGTGCAAAGGCCCTACTCAGTACAGAGCTTTGGAGAGTAGCTGCCTGTTCTCTACCTCGGTACGGTGCAGGGTGATTGAGCTCTACCTATGATATCAAGCCATGATAGCATTCTCACCCTTGTTCTAGGGAGTTACCGTATTAGGGTAGAGACTGAAATCAGTCCCGAAAGGTAGAAACGAACTTTTAGATTGCGGGATACCCTCTCTCCGGAAAAATAAAGCCCTTGGTATAAGGTCGGGCAAAAAATGTTGAGTACTGGGATGAACCTGGACACTGATTCTTGACGATTTCCATTTAATGGATCCTGGAGTTTTATAAAAATTGAACAATTGGTCGCATTGTCCAGAGTTCTCTCAAATGTCACCCTCAGTGCCCTCGGATTATTAGAAAATTTTTGGCTACTTTGATATGAGATATCGTAAAGTTTAGGCCTAAAGAAGCTCTGGGGACTCCCGTTTTTTACAAGGAATCTTCGGAAAATACACCAAGACCAATGTGCTGAACATAGATCTCTTGACAACTCTTCAGGTAGTAAGTTTAGATACAGAGTTCTCAAGGTTTGGAATGTAAAATCAAGGGACTTGTTTCACAGAAGATAGATGGGAATTTGTTTGGGATTACTTCACTAGGTCATGGTTAGAAGCCGTGAAACGTTGCTGTTTTCAGCGGAAAGCCTTTTCACAGCTCATCCTTTCATGGCGCCAGCCTCGTATGATATAAATTTAGTTTCCTGCAGCAGGTCATTTCCAGCTGCCCTTTTTACCTCAAAGTGACCGTCTAAGCAATCACGCTACGACAATATTCTGGCTTTAGTTGATCATATGTCACTCCAGGGTAGCAGGCACAGGTGCGTGCTTCACAATATCCGGATTTCAGCCAAACCAGAGCCTTCTTGCGCTGTTGGTGAGTCTGTAGGGGCTGCCATTTCAAATTAAGTATGATACCCGAGTATGATATCATACCTTATCTATGGGCCTTTATATCATACAATCACATACTTGGCGATAGCAATAGTACAACACTTCATGCTTCTCCTGCTTGTCCAGTGGCTAATTCACCATTGATCGCAATTAAAAGGACACGAAATAAATGGTCGAGTACTTGGCTACCTAAGAGGTGCACTTTGGAAATAATTGGCGTTGAGGTTCTTGTAGCGTTACTAGTCCAGGAAGGGTCAAGTTTCACTTATTTCGCTGTGCTTTCACCCATGCTTTATTAGCACTGAACAACCGAGGACGTTTGCTCATGAACTACTTGTATGGTGTATTGAAACAGCGCCTTGTGGCAATTTATCCTAAAAGTCCAACTGGAAATCCGGCCCGTCTATCGGACCACATCCTCAATATCCATTCATAGTGTCACTAGTTGATGTGGTACCCTCAGAGGCCCTCAGTCTGATGTTTTGCGGGGAAGAGCCCCCGCTCTTGAGTCACCGCTCACAAGCAAGGTTCCATCCGGTCGGAGTCGGAGGAATTATCAAATTGTGAACCGAGGAGGCGATGTGATCCCAATTCATAAGGGGGTCTCGCCCCTCTGGCCTAGATCTGGGATGTGTATTACTAGTGCTTGCACCATCCTAAGGGGTTTGTTTCAGGATATGGTGAGACTGGGTTCACGACGTAATTCCGCCGCCGGGGTGGCAAGATTCATAAAGAGGCTGGGGTTGTGAAGAGGGAGATCTGCTCTGGAGCGCAGGGTGCTGTTGGCTTGAAGGATTTTCCGCACTAACTTAAGTTATGAATTGGACCTCCCTTGCTCTATCAAGCTCGACACTGCGCGGATTGTCTCCAAACTACCGCACCATCTTGCAAACCACCTCCAGAGCTGTCACTGTCACCGCGGCTGATTCTTTCAGTTCATGGTTCGTGGACTACACATCTCCTGTTTAAACCCCACTAAGCCGGCGTGGTGGGACTACCTAATGATGGCACCTACCACAGCTGTAGGGTATCCAAGCATGATATTTCGGGTGAGTGTGCATCTTTGGCTGTAGCACCTACCGTACGAGCAATATATACAGCCTTGGAAGGAAACATAGCCCAGGGCGCTGTATTATACCAGTACCTGTGCCCCGTCTGGGTCGGGATTGTGATTGTTTTGGGCATTGACCTCCTGGCTCCTTGCGCTTTCGGGGTGTATAAATTAGGTGTGTGGCATATGGCTGGCGGATAGTAAGTATCTAAGATGAAGCATTATTAAGACAAATCACGGCATATCAATCGAAGGATTTGGGCTGTGCTTTAAATTACCGGTAGCCAAACCGTGGTGTCCTCACTAGCATGATACCTTACGGTAGTTACCCGGCTGATACTAGAGTACAGGGTGTCGAGGACAAACAATACATTCAAACCTGACCCCACATCTTGTGCTTGAGGACCCCGACATTTACGTTGGATTGGTTTACATGCTGACAGACTAATTGAGCTTCGTTTATTGTGCAGAAGCACTTATGAACGGATTCCCTAAACCGTTGCTTCGGTGTCCGAGGCTTTTGTTTCCCCTATCCGCTCCGGTACTTTCTCCAACTGGGGGTGACAGGTTCCCCCTTCGTGCTTTCTCCTTACCTCCCGCTTCTCACTGAGAGAGACACATCAAAAGTCTCGCGCCCTCACCTTACTCGTTAATTAACCGACTCTCTTGACCTGGAAGGTGTTATATAGTACACCTTTGTCCTCATACCCGAACAGAGAAATTAGGAGCTGGTGACCCCTAGCTGGAACCTTACGACGAGATTTATTAACGTTGTTTTCTCTTCATCCCCCCCCCCCCACTTCATCTTCCTGGCTTGGTGTTTCTGGCGTTCCATAGGTCGAAAGAAACCAACCACCGAATGGTATAGGGATAACGACGCGGTGCTGATTCTGTATCCAACTGCTGAGGGGCCATACGCTTGGGATAGGAGGAAAAATAGCGGAAGAGAGCACCAGACGAAGGACAGCTCAAGCTCAAAACCTGGTCTCCATGTCTCCTTCAACTCCACTACGTATTGCTCCTCCCTCTCCCCTAGCTTCACACGCCACAGGTTACGCCCCCAATACCTCCCACACCCCTCTTTCATCGACGTCGCAAGCTCTGCCGGCCACGGCAATGTCATATGCCATGGTGACTAAGGGCAACAATACGCCTACTTTCCCCTCGGGAGTTTTTCAACCTCCGGTATCACGGACCCCGCAGCAGACACCGCTACCGCAAAATGCTCAACAACACCACCAACAACAGGGTATCGCAATGCAGTCAGGATTTCATCCACCTCAATCTTTTCGTCCGAATCCCCTCCAACCCCCTTTCAGCCCTTCGGGTCAACTGACGTCGGGAGCCAGCTCCTCTACCGCAAAACCCTGGCAGCCAGATGTTTATACCCTTCCCTTCATACCGCATTATCTGCAGGCTATCAATACACTCCCCGCTGTGCTCGTCGCTTCTCTCCCAGCACCCTCGATTCCTTACCACTCCTTCATATCTTCATTTTGCGGTTCAGCATTTTTAAGGCCTTTGCTACCCGCTCCTATTGTCCCACCAGTGCCGAGCACGTCTGTACTTGTATCATCGTCGGACCTCACGCCAACAATATATTCCGAGTACTTTTTCAATCTGCTATCTTGCGAGGTTTCGGCGCAACATAAGGAATTTCGGAAGTACGACCTTTTCAATGTCCCGATTTATATCCAGGAACCAACACAGAGCCTCTATAGGCTTGTTGTTCCTGGTATCCGGGAAAATAACCCTCCAGTGCAGTTAGGAGACGTAGTAAAGCTTAGACAAGTCAGACAACCAGGATACATGGGGATGGGAAGTACCTTCACCGGATATCAGTACGACGCCTGCATTTATGGTATGGATAAAACTGTCGGATACATTGTTCTTAGGGTGGATCATCTGGTGCTTGAATCAGGACGCTTCAATGTTTGTTTCGTTGTTCAGGAGAAGCAATGGACTGGGGCCACCAGAGCCATTGAGGACCTGGGAGCGGAGCTCAGGGGAACTAGCTCCAAGGAGGTAGCTGGGAACCCGGCTGAGGGCGCTAAGGTTAACGGAGCCGAGGCAAATAACAGGCCTGGGGTATTTGTAAGGCGAATGCTGTTCCCCGAGAAGGAAGATGGGATATGGCAGACGACGCTTAGTAGGGGAATTTTTAAACGGCGGTGGTTTGATGGGGAGCTGAATTATGAGCAGCAGGTAAGAGTAGCTTTTCGCTGGGCAGGATCACGAACCGTTCTTTCTTTCTTTGCTCTTTTTTCCATGGCTGTATCATAGGAGGGTGAATCTGTGTGTTGGTAGATGAATTGTACTATGATCCGATTTTTCTGTGGATGGTGCAAGGAATGACGGACTTGCCCTGGCTTAGACTGTTTTTTTCGAAGGAAATATGGAAGTAGAGGAATGGAGGAAGAAGGCTAAAAGTAGTGATGTTACAGAAAGCGGTCGATACCATTCTTCAGCAAAATTACGGAAACGTTCCATACCTGATCTCGGGGCCTCCAGGAACAGGGAAAACGAAGACTATTGTGGAAGTGGGTATGGGCAGAGTTTTCATCATCCGATTATAATTGTGCTTTTTATTGGACAGGGAGTGCAGGCTGACCAGGGTGCGTTCATTTCCCCTTAGCATTGCAGCTCATCTTCACACCTTCCAATCCGAAGCATCACATCCTCCTCTGTGCGCCGTCGCAGGAGGCAGCAGATACCCTGGCCTTGCGTTTGGTTCCGTATCTGAACCCTAGGGTTTTGTTTCGTCTTCAATCCAGTACCAGAACCTTCCCTGAGGTGCCCTCTGAATTGTTGCCTTATTCTTACATAGCGAATGATATGTTCTCACTGCCAGAATGGAAAAAGCTCATGGGGTTTAGGGTGGTTGTCTGTTCCACAAGAGATGCAGAGATATTAGTAGAGGCTAGGTGTACTAACAGGGATTTGGCAAGGTGGGAGAAGAGTGTTTTTGATTCGTTGAGAGGAATTGGAGATGAGAGCGATGGCAATGACACAACGGCCAGTGGAGTGGTGGAGAAAGGGCAGATCGTAAATGTTCATTGGACAGCCCTGCTCCTGGATGAAGCGGCGCAAGGTATCGAACCGGAGGTTGCAGTTGCAGTTTCTGTTGTAGTACCCCCGGAGGAAGCTAGCATTGATAGGCCAATTTTTGTCATGGCGGGTGACCAGAGGCAGTTGGTGAGTAATTCTTTGTGGATAATGGAGATTTTTAACAGTAGGTGTCTGGCTAACACGGGGTAACCCAGGGGCCAAGAACCGTCAGCAGGGCACCACAACTTGATATGAGTCTGTTCGAAAGGCTTTTCTTACGAGAGCTCTACAGCCAGCATCCGCTGGCTAGGCAAAGCTTTACGCATGCTTATGAACAGAGCCCCAGGATGTGGAGTGCGGAGAGAATTCTAGAGAGGAAAAAGGCGCTGCTGGTACGTTCCATGGGTCGCGGATTTCCCTTTTATGATATTGATTACAACCTAGCCATATCTCCGCCCGCCGTTCACAAATTTAATTCGGAATTACCGCTCTCACCCAGCAATTCTGGCCGTACCAAGCGCTCTCTTCTACAATGACACTCTGGTCCCTGAAGCATCAAATACGGATTATCTAGAGGGGTGGTCTGGATGGAAGGGTAGGAGAGGGATCCCCGTGAAATTCTGTCTTAACGGAGGGATGGATGAATGGCATGAAGAAGGGGTCTCGTTCTACAACCTCCGCGAGATAAAAATTGCCTGCAATATAGCGAGAGACCTTGTTTCATCTGGGCTCCTTGCGCCCCATGAAATTGCCATCATGGCACAATTTAGGGAGCAAATTCGGCGTTTAAGAAGAGCACTTCGGTCACCTATATACAATCTCCGAGACGTGAATGTCGGCCCTATTGAGAGTTATCAAGGTAGCGAGCATAGGTTTGTTATAATTTGCACTACTAGGTCTCGTGAGCGTTTTCTAGAGGGAGACCTTGAAAGAGGCCTGGGCGTAATCTTTGAAAATAGAAGAGCTTGTGTGGCTATGACACGGGCAAAGGAGGGGTTGATCGTCATTGGGAATCCCTGGATTCTGGGGAAAGATCCCGTTTGGAGGGCCTGGATGGGGTTCTGCTGGCGGCACAATTCTGTGGAGAAAGATCTTTTCGAAGACGAAGAGCCAGATAAGGCCCTCAACCCCCAAGCGAACGAGAATGACGTGATGCTTGGGCACGAAGATTCCCAACCAAATAGGGAAAATCCATCACTCTCGAATAGCCATTCAAATCACACCAATGGAAAGTTGGCAGCGACAATGGAGCTGAAAGTCAACAACTGGCAGCCGCCCGAGGATGAGAGAGAGACGCCACAGTATATCAGTCGTTTGGAGACCGGTTTGGTGTATAGATCCAGAGTAAATAATGGCTATACTGGTGCTCTTGGGGCTGTCCATGGCGGTTTTGACGAGGATGATCCAATGTGGACTGCAGGAATTGTGGCGGAGGAAGCAGTGAGAGGGGGGGTCGGAAATGGAGATCTACTGGGTGAGTAAACCAGTTATATTCTCACATCTTGGAATAACCCTTAGTATCTTTATATCCTCCATACGCTTCAACTCATGTGCCTTTTTCTTCACTTCTTGGCTTGCTCCATTTTTATTTATTTTTTTCTTCCGCAATAATTCGTGGCATCCTTTTTCTACTCCAACCTTATTTGCTGGTATTCTACTACCCAACTTTGATGCAGTTATGCCGGGAGATGAAAGGCAAATAGAAAAAAGGGGAAGAACGAGCCAAAACTGCCGTATCGCTTACTTAGAAAAGAAAAACAATTTCTTTCGTTCTCCTAGACTTCGTTCTATCAGGGAAGATAGAACACGTCATATCTTCATGCATTGTCATCTAACTCTCACGGTTTTTTTCCTTTTTTCCCAGGGGCTATTCCTGCGATACCCTCCTCCTATTATCCCCACTGTGCCATGTGGCACCCAATACCTTGCCCGCCTGCGGGCTAAATCTGCCTATCCAATACTTTCCCCTATATCGAGATGAGATGCCCTTACTAACGACGGTATTGGCGATCCGTCCTTCCTGTGGGGGATCTATTGCACCCAATACCCGATCCCAACCCAATCATCCCGCCCATCACTATTTGCATAAATTTCGCTTTCATCTTATGAAAAATATTTTCTTGCACTGCATCACACCAAAGGAAAAATAAAGAAAGCTAGAAAACCGAAAAAGCTAACCTGACACACGTCCCAACTGCAGAAGCAACGGCAGGAACCGGTATGCCGTGGCCACAACACCTCCTGGACAACACCCTCTTCGTAGGCGGGAGCTTGCAAGGCTTGGATAAGCGGGACTCTAGTGAAGAGGGGGGAGTAGAAGGTGAAGGGGTTGAAGCGGCTGCGGATGGGGAGCAGGCAGAGCCTGCGGCGATAACAGGGAAGAATAAAAAGGGCTTCACTGAAGTCAAGACCACGGAAACGACGCAGACGTCGCTATTTTCGGCGGGGCCGGGGAAGTGGTGGGGGTGAGTGAGGTGGAGACTAGACTTTCCTGATGACGGGTCACTTGCTTTTTTTGGGGTCCGTTCTTCCGGGGCGGTTTCGTTTCGTTTCTTCCTGTCTCTCTTTCTTTCTTTTGCCTTTCCTCTGTTTTCTTTTTTTCTTCTTCCCCATTCCTCCTGGCTCTACTCATGGATTACGATTACGTTGTGTCTAGACGTTGCATGGCTTCTCACTCGCGTGTTTTCACTGTTATACTGTTTAGTTATTTCTTGCTTGGGGTTACCCCACCTTTAATGTATTTCCTTCCCTGTCCTTTTGCTTCCTTCCTTATTTATTGTCTTTCACATCCCTACCTATTCTCATTCATCATTCGTTTGCTGCCGTTTCGTTCGATTTGCTTCACTCCGGCGCAGCAGGGCAAGGGCGGCAACGTTTATTTTAGCGTTGCATTTGCGGTTTCTCTCCTCCATTCGTCGATTCTCTATTAGTCTCATTGTATGGCATGTCATGTCATGTATGATTGGGGGATGTTCAGGTCTAGGGTTTTTTTTCTTCTCGTTCTCAGTGCTAGTTAATGTAGTCATGAATGCTAATCGTTGTTGCAACTATTATTTTCCTTCTGCTTTTCCTCGCCCCGTGGGGAGATTGTGCAGTGGCCTTGTGTTGGTTCGGGGCGAATTTCCAGCCGGGGGATGAGCCCTGCTTATCCGTGTCTGAGCATGTTCTAGAGGGTAGAGGTGGGGGATGGAGCTTGACGGGAGCTGTTTGGAGACGAGGTGGGGCTGTATGCTTGGGATATTATTGAGTGTGAGTTGGGATGGGGTGCTGTGGCCGGAGGGATTGAACACCAGCTCTCGCTCATCAGGATAGTCCCCCGGGTTCTCTCAAAGCTTAGCCCCGCCCTTGCAAAGACAAACTAGCCCACAGAGTATCATACGAGTATCATATGCAGCAGCCTTTTCCCAATCACACACTCCATGCATTAAACCCATAAGACAGCGCTGTGAGACCCATGATCCTAGCCACAGTCGGTCCCCTCATCAAATCACAAATAGTCACTCGCTTTCGCAGTGAATCGATGACTGCTGACGAGAAAGAAGCTTGATTTTCTTACCACCTGCGCAGCTGTGGGGTTTTATGCTGACTGAACTATCAAGTGAAAGAAAGGAAATATCAAAACCCCGAGGTCGGAAATATGAGGACCTCGGAGGAAAGAATCTGACAAAACCTCGGTGAGGAAGAAAACCATATGAGAACCTCAGAATACCATAGTTGAATATAGCATGGTTGTGCGGTTGTGAAACAAATGGAGAAGAGATGAAGAAAAACTCAAACAGTAACTAATATTGAAGAGAGTGGTGAGGGAAGCACCAGGAGAAACTAGCTAAATCCAACATTCCCAAAATAGCGGGAGTCCGTTCAATAGTGGGCTTGCTCTGCACCACAAGAGCTCTTCCATGCTTTGAGGGGGGAAAGAGCGGGGTGCAGTTAGGGTTCTAGGGCGGCTTGCCGAGACTCAGGGCGGGTAATGTGGTCTGAGAACTGGGATGGTGGACTGTACAGTACAGGCAGAGAAGCATGGATGGCCGGCTTATTCGCTGTATTGTAGTAGAAGTCCTGCCGCCACCACAAGACCTCTCTATCCATCTCACCGCTGTAGCGACCAATCGCTAGAGATATATCATACCAATCCTGATCCATCCGTTAAGGCAATGTCTAGAAAGAACCTTTTTTCACCTAATGCACGAGTACTAGCAGCTATCCCTGGTGTCTCTCCTTTACCTAATTTCTATATTACCCTTTCGTGTGATACCTGTGGAGTGCTAGTGTTTCTACACGCGCTGAATGCTAAGCAACTCCCCCCCCAGTAATCACATCACACTCAGCACAAATTCTACTCTTAGGGCCAGTCTAAGTGTCCCAGCGACGTGACAAAAAGTTCCCGCAAATTGTTAAAAAGGTGAAACCAGCCTCCGCTGCGAATATTCATTCTTAGAAATCCTCGCATGTTACTCTTGGGCACTCTTCCCGCCCACAAGTTAGTCTCTTTTCATCGCTGGCTTTTTTTTTCTCTTTCTCAAATCGCTTACACATACTGTCGCTGGTCTTCCCGCTAGTCACTCCCTAATTTCTTCCTCCTTGCTTCCTCCTCTCGACCTCACGATCATAAGGTATTCGATTATCGTATAGTATTGTGAGCCACGCGGCATTCTCGCAGTTTGTCGGAGATCGTTGTGCTCTTCCTTAGTTTTTCTCCCGCCACCCTTCCCAACTGTGGATGTGAACAAGCTCTTGTGCGCATAACTTAGTCGGCTACCGAGCTTTCTACTTTCTCCCCGTCAAGAAACCTGTTGAACGTATTATACGAGAAGGATTACGTACAAGAGCCATTGGCAGGCATGTGTATATGTAACCTCTTACTTATGATACCTGTGCTGTCTAGTATTCAGGTTTGCATCATAATACTGCTTTCTTTCTTTCGTTCCCTACTTTTCTTGCAACAAGAATCATCCACCCAAGTCTTCCCTCTAATCTAAGCGCACCTTTTTCTCATAATCAGCACACATCTCCTCCCTTTCCTTTCCTCCTCTCTTTTCTCCATATATATTTGATCAATGCTATTTATTTATTCCCTTCTTCACTACCTCCGATTCCGTAAAACCTCGGTAACAATCATTGACAGTCCGTTTTCGATTGGCCATAATTCCAACACAGCCTGAAAACCAGATGTGAACCCTTAGAGCATCTCGATTCGCACCGACCCGGAGCAACAATAACAATAACAATCAATATAATAAATACAAGTTTCCTAGTCCGGCCCAGCGTAGCCCTCCTGGATTGCAAAGAATCCAACATTCCATTCCAGCCCCCCCCCCCCCCTCCCCCCATTCTCACAATTCCTGCCATAAATGCCAAACAGACATTCCCGAGATCCAAATCTCACCACATTCCTGTTCTATACCGGTCCCAATCAACTCACGCAGAAGGATTATATTAATGAAAATGCGCTGTTGACGACAAGACCTGTTGTGATATGGCGGGGGTTATCAGGGGCTCCCCGATAACCTCATGTAAGAAGTAGTCTAGACGTACGTGAGGAGATGCGAGGAATGGTATGGATTGGAAGGAATGTAGCCACTGGATGGATATCTAGTCGGTTGGGTTCTTCTGTAGTATATAGTGGTTATCCACTTTGGTGATAGGAAGGGGGTTAATTAAGTCAAAAAAAAACTGTTAACAATTCTTGCTCACTCGAACGATCATAAACTCTTTACAAAAGTACCTAACTAAATTCTCCTCTACTTCATCTACATTCTCTTTTCTGCTTCGGGACCCGCAATAAGACGAACGAGTGATACATAATGACTGTGGCAGTGAATCGGTACGTGAGATAGCTAGCCGGACCATTTACGAAGCTCGCTGTATGCAGTAGGCTCGTTCCTCCCCAGGTACGCGGTGGAACGTGCACGGACTCGTGGGCATTTGCACACACTCGCGCGCTCACAAAGACTAAGAAAGAAAAGTACCTTGGAGGCGGGATTAAGATGCGGATGGAGTGGGACTCTCTTCGTTTGGATGGTGGTATAGCTCCTAAAAGAACGAACAGGATATCTACTCGAATAGGAAGATTTATCTTCGGCTATCATTCTCTATCCATCTCTCTCGCCATAGCACCTCTTGTGTGCAGTGGGAACCGGTGAGTTATCGGGGGAATTTCATGCATCTTTCCAGTTATCCACCTACTACAACTAGCCAGTTTGTGAGTGGGTGACTGTTCGGGGTCCTATTATACTTGGGGCAAAGTATGCTTAAAATACCTGGATGGGTGGGGGGGGGGGTATCTCGGTGAGTTGAGTTGAACGATAGCATTCAGCACCCTCCCGCATCGCAAGGGGAAAATATCGTAGCGAGGCCCTTGTGAAGCTGCAGGGATATTCCTCTTTCAACTTGGTTTGCTAGCCCAGCAGAGAGATTGTAGCTCTGGTTATCGTGGAAGGGAAAATGGTGGCGATAAGGAAGAAGAACTGTGTTGCCGCCCCCGAAAAGAGAAGGCCGGGGAGAGGAGGCGCGGACTCTCCGAGGGAAAAAAACACCGGCCTTGCTTAGGCGCTGGATGAAAGGCTTGCGTGACGGGATATTATCATGGTCAGCGTGAGGGTTTTTAAGTTTACTTGATGTATGATCGATAGGTGGGCGATTTAAGCAGCGTGAGATATGTTAGATGTATCCATAACAGGAGTTCTACTCTCTCGGGATGGCGCTCTTCATAGTCTTTTGATGCTGTCTGCGTTTCTGCCGCTAGTGTTACAAGAACTCGTCGGCGCCTTGCTAGATTCTCCTATGGACCACCTCTGGATTACAAGTGGACAAGGTAAAGGTAACCGCCTCTATACTTTCAATTCGGAATGTTTTTTTAAACGCCAGCGGTGGTCATAGCCTCCCCATCTATTACACCCCCATATCCCGGGGCTTGGGCGAGACGTAGTAGTCTCTTGCATCTTTCGGTAGGCTCAATGACGCGTGTCTGAAAAAGACATGACACTGAGAGGGCACATTTCCTCTTATTATACATTAATCAACCTTTAGATGGTATAATAAATGATTGAGGTATGCTGCCTACACGCACTAAGACATCTAGTAAGAATATCATAGTCCCCATGCCCCTGTCGAGTGCTGTGCTGGTGGTGGAAAGCCCATGCTGTGAGATAGGCCGGTTAGGCCATACTGTACTGTACTGCACAAGTATCATCAATCTTGATCGAAATCAGCGCCAATACTCTTACTTTGTCTTGCAATTCTACTCGGGTACGCCTGTCCTTGCAGGTTGCTGCTGCGGGGTTGATTGGGAGGCATAGCTAGAGCAAGGTTGACGGCTAATTATCAAGGGCACAAAAGAGAGAATGAATAAAGGGCACTGTAACATGAGCGATTCTTGGCCGTGGCGTTTTTAAGCCAAGTGTGCAGTTTTTTGGGGGGAGCCTTTTCTTCTCTCTCTTTTCCCCGCCCTCGGTGGTGGTGGTGGCTAAGTCCTGGTGGACGGCGCGGGATGATTCGCTACCAAAAGTGGTCTACCGGTATTATTGGGACCATTTGGCTCCTATTGGTCCCGAAAAATCGATAGGCGAGACTTAGTAATAATGCCAGTATAGTATGATGGACTACGGTTCAGAGTCCTTATAACCCGGAGCATAAAACGGTCCACAGAACCGTACTGGTATGCGCAAACTCCCCTCCAAGGCGGCTCGGCTCGACAATAGGTAGGCTGAGGTAGCTAAGCCCGCATGGCATCTCACGAGGGAACGTACGCGCGGCACCGGGACTGCCCCGCCTCGGGTATCATTCAAATCAACCGCATCCACGATCTTCTCTCCTCCATCCACAAGGCATCCACAGTATTTGGTCCTCCACTATAGCAGTGCCCGTAATCGCGCCGCGCGGCTACATACGTCAGCATAGAGAAGCCTAAATGATGAGTGAGCGGATCATTGAGTCTCACTCGTCCTCAGGGTTGTTTTGTCGGTGAAGTTGCACGGGTATGATGTGGTAGGTCGCGTGTGAGTCTGGGGGTGGAAAATTTCAAGATTCCACGTGGCTCTTCCCGCCTCGTGCGGTTTGTGATGCTATCGGGTCGGGAGGAAGAGATCCCGGACGGGCCTGGTATCGTGCCCCATAGTGGACACGTGGGCGAGTTTGCATCGTGAGGTTTTCGTAGATCCAGGGTGTGCCGTATTGTGTTTGCGTCTCTTTTTTCGGGGGGATGTGACTGAAATCCCGGCTGTACGATATGATATCGATCACGGTGCGCTGCATGCATGCATATTGGATGCTGTATCTACCCGCGGTTCGGGCCGGGTGCAAACAAGGGGAGCGGCTGAGATTTGTCTTGTTTGCCAACGCCGGTATGGGAGCCCCCCACGCCCGCACCCTCAGACCATCCCTCCGACACCGACGGGGAGGCGCGATTTAAGTGAGGGTTTTGGGACCGACCTCACTTCGGTACGTATTACGTAAAGGGCGGATGGTGTTTGGGTCAATATTGGATCGAAGCTGGGTGACTGTGCTCACTACCGGTAGGTTATAGTAGAGTACCGGTACTGCATGTGCGGTAGATCTGCGGATTGCGGGTACGGTAGGCAGGCAGGAGGAGGTGGGGGTGGGGGTGGTGGGCGCATACCGGTAGATACCGTACGATGGTTTGACAGGAGACGTCTGCAAGACAATATGGGATTCAGGCGGTTCCCGTGCCCATACTCGTATAGCACGGCGCCGCACCTTGGCTTCGCCGACTTTTGGGGAGAAAACCAAAAAAAAAGGGAGAAAGGAGGAATGCTGTGCCATAGGGGGAAATCCGGCTTTTCAAGACCCGAGCCCTCGTAGCGAACAAAGCCCAGCCATTGATTTTGCCATGTTACAAGTATCATTGTTATGCGCCCGTGAAGAGGGATCTCCGATCGTGGAATACGAGTATTATGGGGGGGAAGTGAAAGAAAGAAGTCCGATTCAGACTACAGGTATTCCCCCATTGCCCTCAACCTTGGGTTCAGGTCCAGCTGTGGGGAAAGGCCGTAAGTTTGTACCGCTAGGAAATTTGCCCGGAATCAGGCCTGGCAAATCTCCTCGCTCTAGAGACGTTCGGTGAACCCCCCCTTGATCCCGCCAAGGCCTTCGTCGCAACAATGGTGGAGCTGCTGGGTGGGAAGGGAGCGTACTGCTGCGCAGGCGGAGCCAGGGACATTCCTGATATGGTTGGTTGGTTGGTTGCTGTGGGTGCTCCCTGGGCCCTGCGGATTGAAATAGAAACATATATTAATTTCCGAAGATGGATCAGCGCGGATTGCGCGTTCGCGTTACTCGTACTCTTGTCCTGTGCTGTACTCGTACTATATACAGTACCTCGTAGCCGTGGCAACCAATCAGCAGGGAAGTTTTGACAGTTTTTTTGCTGTTGCATCACCGCTTCCGCCGCTTCGGGCACTGGTTCGAGTGAGGCGGAGTGCCACAAGTACAAGTATCATGGAGTACCACGCTCACCTGATAAAGGATTGCGGATTGCACTCGTACAGGACCCTTTCCTACAGACCGGAAGGAGCACGGTTTTTGGTATTGGCATTCTCCCGGTCGATAACGTTAAACCCCCTCGGCCTCCGATACCGGTAAGCTATCATATCCCCATGACAAGCGGGGAGATAAGCGATAGGCGGATGGATTACCCGGTCGAAAATCTGTTTACATTTCTCCCTCCGGCATTGATCTAATTAGGGGTCGTCAAGCCGAAAGGACTCCGAAGCGAGAAACACGGTATTTATTGGCTAAGCGCGGTATTCCTACTCCGCGAGGCTATCATTTCGCCGCCAGATTTTCGGGAGGCTGGGTCGAATACCGGGATCACCGTTGCTGGCGGCAACGAAACCAGCCTCCCTCGATCCCTGCGCCACGCATTTTCTCCCCCAAAACTACCACCCCCCAACCGCTGTGCGCCCTTTTCCGAGTACTTACCCCCTGACCTATCATCTAACCCATCCCGCCGCCTCTCCTTGTTCATCCCCCCTTCCCCCCTATAGCCAATTAATCTCAACCTCATATCCACTTGTTGCTGGAGCTCCCGCTGCGGGAAACGATTCGTGCAGAGGTCCTACAGTTGGCAGATTGTTTCTACCATCCAGCCAGTTGAATTTCCAAGGGCCCACGGAGCCAGTCCCTTCCTTCCTCTTACAATTTTCTCGGTATTCTCCCACCCTGCCACTGCCCTGCACCTTACTACTCCACCACTGCAACATCCTCAGGAACCTGTTTTGGACAAGTTTGCTTGTTCTTCGCCCCTTCCACCTGACTGGAATTGTGCGGATTTTGTTCCACCGAGTTCATAGAAATCCGACGACACGATGCCCAGGGCGGGAATCAAGGAAGCGCATCCCGCGGGGATTTGGTCTGATCTCTCGGTGGATGGACCGATCATAGGGACTCTGGTTGTTATATTGGATAAGGCTGTGGGTTTTTCTTCAATCTCCTACTGCTCCCTATCGCGATACCGTTCTGGTTGACGGTTGCTGACTTTCGCAGAAAAATCTCCCCAACAGGAAGAAAATTGGCAAACAAGATCCCTACGCTGTAGCCCGCCTCGGGAAGGAGGCACACCGAACAGATGCGGATGTTCGTGGAGGCCAAACACCTCGATGGTAAGATTCCATCCTCGTCGATGGGAGTGACGTGTTGAGCTAGCTTCTAACCTCCTCTAGGGATAAGGAACTTCGTTTCCCAGTACGGAATTCTCCGGATTACAAGTCTCTGAAGATCACTGTTTTTAATGACGATAAGAAAACTGATCTTATAGGCGAGACTACTCTTAAGTTGGATAAGATTTTGGTTAAGGGAGGCGGAACTAATGATGGTTGGAGAGGACTGAAATGTAAGGAGAAGTACGCGGGGGAGATCTTGGTTGAACTTACCTTTTGGGATGATAGGTTCAAGGGGACACCTCCAGCGGGAAAGAAAGGGTTGGAGCAGGGTTTGGGAGGAAGGGATAAGGAACGGGAAAGGGAGAAGGAAGCTCCAAGAAAAGTTGGAGGTGCTAGGGAGATGGTTGGTTCCGGGGATAGAACCGTGAAGAGACGCCCTTTACCAGCGGATCCTACGCGGTCTTCGAAGGAGGATGTCAGCCAGCCGATGCCTGTGCCAGAAAAGCGGAGCAGGCGGTGGAGGCATTCCCATCACCCCGGATATGAGAATAGCCAGCCTCACAACCGCCATTCATATTCCGAGCCCCAGCATCTTCAATATCGGAATCCTACAGGATCGTCTAGGACCGTCGCTATGGCACCTGATCCTTTGCCGGTCGCTACGGGCATTTATGATCCCTATGGAGACAATAACATCTCTGGAGGGGACGTGTTTGGCAGATTTGAAGAGGATGATCCTGATGGGCAACCTCCCCCCCCACCTCCACCTGCCCATCGAAGGCATTATGATGCGTCGCCTGGCCATCACTCGCCCAACCCCCCGCATCCCCACCAACAAACCATTCACAAGAGGCACAAATCGCAACATCAATTGAAGCATTATCAGAGCGTCCCGGATTGGCAATACCATCAACAGCAGCAATCCCAAAGTCCAGATCCTCGTGAGCGCGAGGTGCATAGAAGCAACAGCTATGACCCCCGGTTGCCGGCTCAGGATCAATACGGTGGTTCTTATCCTGGACCTCAGACTCGTCACCGGGGGCAGGACGACTACGACCAGTACGTGTATTCCCCAAATACGGTTGCTTCAACAGCCCATCTGCGACAGGAGCGTCAGCTTACCTACCGGGACGTGAGTCCTGGGCTCCCTTGCGGACCTTCTCCGGAGAGCTCTTTTGAGAACTTCGGGGGTGAGGACGATGTTCCTCCTCCTCCTCCCCCACCCCACGGACACAGCCCTGCTCCAATGCGTTTTGATGAGCCGAATTGGGGGAATCACAAGCCGAAGACGAAGGAGGAGGAAGACCTTGGGCTCCCGAGCTATGAACTCTCCACTCAACTCGCCCATCGACGATCACATAGTAATATGAACACTCGTGCTCTGGAGGTGCAAAGGACTTCTGCTGGAGTTGAGCCGCCGTCCACTCGGAATGGAATGCCGATTCCTCCCAGTCTCGTGCCTGGCATTGACCCACTTGTTGCGGAGCAAATGGCTGGAAGAATTGAGGCTGAGAGGAGATTGAGCTTTGTGGACACGTCTAATGGGCTACTACAAATAGAGGGTCCTCCTCCGTCCCACTCGCAGGTGATGCAGCATAGATCTAGCCAGAACTATCACAGGCCTCAGGTCGAAGAAGTTCAGGATGTGCAGCTCTATCAACCCCAGTTGCTTCCCGAAGATCAAGTGGTGGGGCGGCCGGTAACGGTGAGAAAGGGTCGCGAGAAGAGGTCCGCACCTATAGTCAAGCCTATGCCCATTCATGGAGAGCGGGATGATGTGGTGCCTGCAGTTGGAGCGACTGCAAGCTCGGTCAGGCGAAACTCTACCCTGGTTATGGTTGCGCCCGAGCGGAAGCCTGTTCCTCCTGCCGAACCAGTATTCGAGGGACTTCCTTTTTCGCCTGATTCCTTCGACCTGATCAATCCGGGCCCCAACGCCTCCCTAGAGGCTGCTATCAACGGCCCAGGTCCCACCTATAGCACTCCTCAGGAAGCGGAAGAGACCGCTAGAAGATGGAATGCAGAATCCAAGAGAGGGAAGCTGCCGAGTAAGATGATTGTTCCTGGGATTAACAGGGTTCTGGATGCTACCGACGTTCTACCACCCGAGAGCTTTGCCCCTGAACCCGAGAGGCGAGGAGGTAGAAGCCCTCGCCCGCCCCCACCTGTCCCAGCTGAGTATCGTCGCCATAGCACGGGAAGACAGAGGAGTCCGAGTCCTCGGCCACCAAGGAGGGGAGAAAGGCTAGCTCTTACCGGCCCTGTACCCCCACCGCTTCCTAAGAAGGTTAGTATCCGGGATCCTTCTCCTCAACCTGTCCGGAGTGGAAAGGAGCGGGAGAGGGCCAAATACCAGAAGAGGCTTAGGAATTCCCAGAGTATGGCCATCCTCCCTAACAATAGTCGGAACCACGGTAGCTCCCGTGACAGGAATTCAATCGGGCCTGGCGCAATGGTCATGTATAACCCGGAGAGCGAAAGGGAGCGCCAGATGGAGAGGGATAGGGACTCCCGAGCTCTTGTCCCGGCCAAGGGTAATGACAGGTATGGCTACAATTCGGACCAGCCAAGAGGAGGTAGATCCCAACAGCGTCAGCAAGCCCCGCCTCTTCCAGCAAAAGCCCCAATCGACACATCTAGAATGAGTAGGGAAGACTATCTCCTGAGCCAGGAAATGAGCCTGATCAGCATCGGGCCCACCAGTGGAGGACGCACCCGCAGGGGAAGATATTAAGGAAGGCTTACGACTGCCATCATATCTCACAATTCACGAAACAAAGAACTAGGAAAATCGTCGTTGAAATACGCGAATTACTACTTTATTTTTTTATTTTATTTTATATTTATTTTTGCTTTCGGAGTGATTTACTTTGCTCATTTGAATTTTCTCTTCATGTATCAGTACTTAACTGTCGTTTGAGCCCAGAATAGCGTCTAGCCATCATATTTCGTGGACGGATTTCTTCTTGGCCGGCTGAGTCGAGGCGCCAGTTTGGCAGGGGCTTTCATGTTTTATTCGACATTTATGCGAAGGAACTTGAGAGGGGAACAGCTTGACAGCGCGAGCTTGCCTGTGACTCTGGGAATATCTGGGTATGGGGATAACTTACGTGTAGCCTGAATCTCGGAGAGTACCAGTAGATACTAGGTGTTTGTTGAGTAGCATTGGCATCCTGCTTGTCTGAGATTGATCATGATAAGCGCAGTATGACCTACCATAGCGCATTGTCCCCGCAGCCACGTATCATAGCACGGGAGTCACCCCGCAATGTACTTGTAGTGCTTACGGTGCGAGTTGGTTGGTTGGTTTGAATAGTGAGCGCCATGTTTGACTTATTGTAAGGAAGAATTGTGGGGTGCTTTCCCTTTCATATACGCACTGTGACCGTATAAGAGCTGAGTGGGGAAAATCTCATCAGAGGGAGGATCCTTGTCAATGGCTGATGTTGCTACCTATCGCCCTTCCTCCCTGCTTATACCACATTGCGTGCCTACCTACACCATAGTGTGGTGCGACAGGGAAATGAAAACCCCCGTAGCAAGCAATATTATAAAGGACGACAAAGGGAAGTGATAAGAGTGCTGAGATGGCCCCAGCCTTGTATTGTAACCAATTTGGCCATCTTGCCTTTCGTTGACATCTTGCTGTTTTATTACAGTAAAACTTCCGATATTTCCCTCCTGAAAGTTCCCACCCTGGAATTGGCAATTCAACAAGTATCCGGAAATCTTAGCGCAAGTTACGGCCAAAAAGCGGTTCGTGATTTCTGGATACTTGTCGAACTATCAAGTAATAAATACAGATGTATATATACGCACTATCTGAGATATGGAGGACTCCTCTGAAAATATAAAATCTGGTATAGTTCCAATTTCAGCTCGTTCTGGAGGCCTTTCTAGAAACCCCGTATTGAAGAAAAGAAAAAGTTGTCATACAAAAAAATATAAACGAGCGGACAGGCAATTAATCATGTATCTAAATTTATATACTATTTTCCGAATTGAGGCTTAGAGTAACTGATAATAGGAGAGTTGACCGACGAAGAAATCATCACAGTGGTTGATCATATGAGAGCAAAAGCATTGCATCATAGTCAGAAAAGTGAATAAGTTAGCTAATTTATTCTGGTTTATCTCTTGATAGGGAGGGTAGGAACGAGGATGAGGATAAGGATAGCGACTCAGAAATGAATCTCATATCAAGTAGGGATGCTCTGGTAGCAATCTAAGGGCCAACTCAGGACCTTTTAAGTAATAAAGCTATTGGTGCTAGCACTATACTTTAAAAGTAACAGAAATACTTTAGGGGTTGGAGAGATTATAAGGAATTTACATGCTTCAAGAATCTGCTATTCAACAAAGTTTCTTGTTATACTTTACTGCTGAAGCTGTCAGATAGTAGTTGCTACTCTGTATCGAATACCGCACTACCCGCTCTGCTCCCTTTAAATACAATATATCATATTATTAGATTGATATTTTTTATTCTCCTCACTATCATGTAATATCACTCGGTTCACACCGCCGATGTGCCTTGGTCCATTGTGCCGAGGCCCTTCCACTCTTTCCATGTTCCCTTATTTCTACCCCTAGGCCACACCTAGCCCGCTGGTATTATCGGAGGTTTTACTGCACACTATACTTCCTAGAGTTTAGGTGGTGGTCACCTGGGAATGGGTTTGTAACTTCAATGCAGTCATCCTTTGTTTCTTTTGCAGAGGGAGCTGAAGGGCGGGATGTGTGCTGTTGGAGCCTGCTAGGGAGTGTCTTTTTTCTTTCTTTTCGGGTATAGGGATGCTGCACCGCCTAGGGCTGGGATGATTCGAGCGAGAGTAGGGAACATGGGGGGCCTTGGGGGGTATCATACTGGTGTGGTATAGCATGATATATTATCTCCCGGGGAATAGGAAAGGATGGGTGGCCCTGCGGGGGTTTCAAGTATCATATCTCCCACGCATACGGTAGGGCTCTTAAAATCGGGAATCTTGATTTCTTGTATGTCACCCCGCCGTGGCTTGAGTCTATAGGACTATATTGCATACTAGTGTAGTGCCTCGCTTAGTTTTTTTGTCGTATCGTATCACATGATGGAGGGGTTTCCGTAGGCGCGCTTCGGCGCGGGTAAATTTGCTGCCGCCTACTGTGCTTCTGGTGTACCAGTGTGCTAGAACTGTGAACAGGGTGACTGGGTTACTAGTGTGGCGGCACTGTACTGATACTGTACTTGCACGAGTACTAGTACTAGTACATCATCCAATTACCTCTATTCGTTGACAAGGCTAAGTTGATCTCAATGGTGTGATAAACCCCCAGACTTCAGGTTGCGATAATATCATACCCAGTGATTACCCACCCCGCTTCCGTCTTGGCATGAGGGATTCGCTGGAGGCGCACGACGTCCGTCACATGCATTTTTTATTTCTAGCGGTTTGCACTTATGTATGATACCGCCATACAGCCCCATGGATTATTGGTGGGCCTTAAACCCCAATTTACCAGGTTTCCGGGAAGGAGGACATGTTTGGTGTGGTTAGTACGGCCACCCGCAAGCCTTGTTGAGATGCTGCCTTGGGGTAGCGAGCACTGGATTGAAGAGTGCTGCATAGTGTAATCATGATGCCTTCAGCTCCTCGAATTACCGGCATCCGTGAACTTGACCTAGAATATAGCTTTTCTTTTAAAAAATAATTTGCGTTTTAATTATTCTACCTTTTGGTCATCTTCAGCTTCAAAGGATCCTATAAGAACCCCCTTCTGCCTCCATTCTTCAAACAAACACTCAACACCACATACTCTCAACACCGCACACTCACCATTATGACAACTAGAGTTACCCATGTCGATAATGGCCGCCTGCAATCCCTTCCACTCATTTCAACTACACTGAGGTCTCATATCGTGGACCTAACAGCCTCCCATACACTCACGCAGGTATATAGCAATTCATCAACCAGAGATATATCTGAAGCCCGGTATACATTCCCTCTCTACGAATCCTCCTCTGTGACGGACTTCCAGGCTTTGGTTGGGGAAAAGACAATTAGGGGAGTAGTTAAAGAGAGGACCGAGGCGAAAGCCCTTTACGAAGCTGCTAAGTCCGCCGGAAGAGTCGCTGCATTGTTCTCCCAGGATACCAGTGAAGTATTTACAACTAGCGTCGGAAACATTCCAGGCGGTGGCTTGGTGGTGGTGGTCATCAAGTACGTACACGAATTGAAGCAAGACGTTGAGGTTGACGGGGTCAAACTCGTCATTCCTACTGTCATTGCTCCAAAGTACGGAAACGGGCCCGCCGCTGCAGGCTTCGTTTTCGGTGATCGATGGCAGACTTGTTGGGGTAACTTCTCGCAAACTATTCTGGATATTGGTAATGCGGAGGATGCCGGACTTTCCCTCTTTGTCACCGCAACGATGAGTGGGCCCATTAGGGGTGTAATTTCACCCACTCACCCCATTTCCATCGGCCTCGGGTCCCATTCTAGCGCCGAAGACGGCACAGACTTCAATCCTACGAAGGCGCATGCAACGCTTGCTCTTGCTTCTCGGTCTCTGACCGGGCTCGACAAGGATTTCTCACTCCTTATCAAGGCCAACGATATCGGTGACCCCAGGGCATTCCTCGCTCCTCATCCTACAATAAAAGATACGTCGACGCTTATGGTCACAATGGTTCCGAAGTTCGCTCTCCCTTCGCAGGGTCATGAAATCATATTCGTTGTTGACCGGTCGGGGTCAATGGAGGACAAGATTGCCACGGTCCGATCCGCTCTTAAACTTTTCCTCTCCTCGTTGCCGGTAGGCTTATACTTTAATATCTGCTCTTTCGGATCCAGCCATTCATTCCTTTGGTCACGATCGGAGAAATATTCGGAGGTGTCACTGAACACTGCGAAGGCCCATGTCGTGGGGTTGGATTCCGACATGGGTGGAACGGAGATACTTCAGGCTGTGATGGGCGCTATGAAGACGCGCCGACGGGATATGAGGACTGAGTTTCTTATCCTTACCGATGGAGAAGTTTGGAACGAAGAGAGCCTGTTCGAGTTTGTCGGCGAGTGCGCCAAGGACGAGAATGTTCGTTTCTTCTCCCTCGGGGTTGGAAATACAGTCTCACACCGGCTCGTGGAGGGAATCTCTCGGGCTGGAAGGGGGTATTCGCAGATTGTCAGCATCGCTAGTAATCTCCAGAAGAAAGTTATACGTATGCTTAAAGCAGCACTGACGCCTCATGTCAACGACTGGGACATAAGCTGGGTGGGAAAACCAGAAGAGCAATGTGCGACTCTGACCCCTCCTGCTCCCAGAATTGTTGCACCGATTTCCCTCTTCGACCCGGATTGCGACCCGGACAATACCCCCTTTGCTCCACCTAGTAATGCACTCACTCTCACGCTACCCAAGGTCATACAGGCTCCGGCAATTGTCCCCGGACTATTCTCATACTCCCGAACAACCGTCTACTTTTTGATATCAAACGGCGACCGTCCGGAAAAAGCGTTCCTGAAGGGCTCCACACATGTCGCCAGCTCGAACACCATCTGCCCGCTTCAGATTGAAATTCCTGTGCAAGAGATCACTTCCGTAGGGGCATCACTCGGCCTTTATCAACTCGCCGGACGCAAGCTTCTCCAAGACTTTGAGGAAGGGAGACTTTCATACCTCGAAGGCATCTACGATAAAGTAAGAGAGCCAAAAAAGTACGCCGAACTAATCACGAAAGAAGGAACAAGGGTTGGCATTGAGTTCGGGCTAGCCAGCAAGTGGACTTCTTTCGTAGCAGTCGCAGGGAACGAATCCGCAGGGGAAGGACAAACAAATCGGGGGGGAGGGGAGAGAATGGATGCGCTTATAAGGGGAGGAGCGCAAACCGCTGGCTTTGGATCAGCGAGCTCCTCCCAGGGAGCGGACCCGGGGGGCGGACCAACAGGGGAAGGGGAAGGAGATCAACAAGAAGAGGAGATAACGGGCGTGGTAACAAAGAAAGAAGCACAAACTGCCAGCTTTGGATTCGCGAGTTCTCTCTCCCAGCAGGCGGCTGTAAAGGGCGAGCCAACAGGGGAAGAGCAAGCAAACAATCAGGATGCAATAACGAGGAGAAGAGTGCAAATCGCCAACTTTGGGTCCGGAAATTCCTCCCGGCAGGAGGTTTCAAAGGAGGGGTCCGCAGGGGGAGGGCAAGCAAGTCAGCAACCAGAGAAAAGACAAGATTTTATTACGAAGGGAGAAACACAGGCCGCCAACTTTGGATCCACAAGTTCCTCCTCCCAGCGAGCTAGGCACTCGAAATCGGCTTCTGGGAGTGGTAACGCGGCAAAACGTGTTTCTGCTTCACCTGGCTTGCAACCTATAGTACCTGGTAGCGGTAGAAACCTTTGGG